CGCACGAGGGAGAGGGGTTAGGTTTATCGTATTGGATGTTTTGGTTTTGGAAAAGGAGGGTAGATTTTAATAGGTTTAAGGTTTCAATTGCGCGAGGGCAAGAAAGAGGATTTTAGCTAGGTAATTTGATGAAGAATGACGACTATTCGATAAACGAGACGTCAGCCTCGCAATCAATTAATCGGGGCATTATTGGAATGCTAGATTCCAACAACACCTAACTTCGAAATTAAGTTTGAGAAAGTTTCAATCGCACGGAGGCGGGGAACGAAAGTTGGGTTGAATATTTTAAGGGAGAATGACGACTACTCGATAAACGAGACGCCAGTCTCGCAATCGATTAATCGGGATATCATTGGAATGCTAGATCCCAATGATACCTTTTTCACTCAATTAATTGTGAAAGTGTATTTGAATGGACAATAACGATATTGGTCCAAGTAGTTAGGGCATGTATTTTATATACGAAAGGTTGAGCGAACCACAACCTAAAGCGTACGCCCCAAGAGTGGTTACTCAAGAATTCAAGGAGTGCAAGACTCCAAGAACTCCATTCTTTCGTAATTTAATTAAGAAAATAGTTTGGATTTGACGTATGGTTTAGAAACATACTAAGGTTTGGACTCGATCACACGAAGGCGAGGAACGAGGTTAGACGAGTTGGAAATTTAGGAGGAATGACGATTATTCGATAAGCGAGACGTCGGCCTCGTCACCAATTAGTCGGGATACCGTTGGAATGCTAGATCCCAACGACAATCTTTTTCATCCCATTAATGAAATAGTGTTTGTTGGACAGTGAATACTTGCCCAAATAATTAAAGGAGGTATTTTAGAAACGAAAGTTCGAACGACGCACCATTCAAGGCGTACGCCTCAATAGTAGTCACTCTCAAATTCGAGGAATGCGCGACTCCAAGAACTCGATTCTTTCGTGATTCGATTTAGAAAAATGTTTTGAATTGTTTAGCGTACTCGGACTAGGCGCGCTAGGTATTCTTGAAAATAAGATCGGAAGGGTCACAACTCGAGGTGTGCACCTCGAGAGCGGTCGCTTAAAAAATTCAAGGAAGGCGAGATCCAAGAATTTAATTGTTTTGAAATTTGTTTGAGAAAAAATAGTCTAATTTAATTAAGGAAACTAATTTTGATTTTCATATATAAAATTAATCAATTGTTTATAAAAAGATTTTGAGAAAAGCTAGTCATATTTAATTGTTTTGAAAAAAAGAAAAAGTTTAATATCTTTAAGAAGAAATAGGTTTTAAATAAAATATATTTTTGAGAAGTTTATTCTTTAAAAGTATTAATTTGGTAATGATTTTGACATATATTTTAAAAGAATAATTTGAATTGATTTATAAAAATGTCTAAGAGTAACTAAAAACTATTTTTTTAGAAATTCAAATAAATTAAATAAAAAAAATAATTTGAAAACCGAAAGACGGAACAACCACAACTCAAGGGCGTGCGCCTCGAGAGCGGTTGTTCGAGGACCCAAGGAGTGCTAGACTCCGAGAGTTCACTACTTTCGTGTAAATTAATTAAAAAGAAATTCTCACTTATCCTAATCTAAAAAAAACAAGTAAAATGTTTTGGATTAAGTAAAAGGAAAATAAGAAACAAATTAATAAAAAATTTTAAAAAAAGAATTTAAGTAAAATCATATTACAAAGCAAATACTAATTATCACAATTTATAAATAAAGAACTAAAATAAAACTAATAATATTACAAATAATATATTAATAATATTGCTAATAATCAATAATAATTTAGACTATATGTAATTACTAAACATTACCCTATCAGGTTCCATTAGATCTTAGTTAAACTAATTAATATAAACATAAACCCCAATGAAAACTGGATATGCTGAGGTGGTTCAGGCCCGTGTCCATCAACCTCTTAAGTTCTAAAAAAAACGAATCAAAACACATAGAGAAAAAAAACAACTCAGATATTCCTTTCTCTCTCCCAACCCAGCATGCCCTTTCTTTTCTCTCCGTCGAATCCCTCGCCTTAAACTCTCTCGCTGTCCAAATTTCTCTATTCTGAAACCTCAATCAAATCTTAACTCTAACAAACAACACCCTAAATCAACCCAAATCAGAACTTAAATCACACATAGAACAATATATTCAAGCATATATATATTATCGGCGAGCATGAATCATTTGAAAGAGGGAACTTACCGGCTTTAAGCTGCTCCAATGGTGAAATGTTGAGGTAATTGGTTCGTGTTGTATGCCTTTCGTTTTTTCCTCTTTTTTTCCTTTCAAATGCGCCTTTTCAAACGAATGTGCGTATGTTCAAACTCAAAGCTTGCTCAGATTCAAAATGGTGAATCTGAGAAACCTTTGTTGAAATGAGCTTCAGAGTGAGGTTTGGGTAACGATTTGGGCAGAGTAGTGTTAGGGTTTTTTTTTTTTTGAAAACCAACAATTATGTTGCGAGGTAGATCCCAATCATGTAATTGACGTCATTGTCCATATCATATATGTCCGATCGTGAGAACGAGGACACACATGAATTTGGATATAAGGGCTGGGGGCACATTCTTCATCGTGAATTGCTAGGGATTATAACCATAACGTGTACACACATGATCTTTATAAATGAAGCCTTAGAGAATCATGACCAGAAGTCGTGAAGTAGTAAAACATTCATTAAATACTGAAGTAGGACAAATTTGGGGTATGACACCACCGCAAAAGGAATGATCATTTGGCGTTGCCAGGTTGCTATCACCGCGTCATCAATAGACGTTGGATTGGGAAGGGGTCTGAGAGATTCAGTTTCAGAAAGAATGAAGGCAATGGGGTTTTCCCAGTTGTGTGAGTAGCAGAAGCGGCTAATGTTGCAGAAGAAGCCATTGAAAGAGAAGCTAAGAGAACTTTGGGAGCAAGAAAGTTTGGAAGAAAAGGAAAGTGTGAGAGAATATGGAAAATAAAACCAAACGTGAGTAAGGAGTATTTATAGACAAATCGCATGCAACTGAAAGGACAATGAATTGTTCTGATTCTAAAGTGAGTGGGAGTGGATTAAAGCCCATAACTTAGGACACGACTAGGCATAATGAGATTCCTTGGAAATCGTGGCACAGAAAGGCGTCATTATTACGTCAGACATCGTGTGACGCGTGGCTGATTCGACAGAAAGAAAATGATTGAGTTACTGGATCAAAACCAAGGTACAGTCGAAATCTCGCAGAAAATCAAAACGCCAAGTTTCTCAGTCGACATAGTGCTCAGTCAAAACTGGCTTTTTTTTGGGGGGGGGGGCAACTTGTTGGCTGGAAGATTTTGACTGAGAAGAGTTGACGAAAGGGCTAACACGTGGGTCGACAAGTCAGGAAGATGGTGAAGGAAAAGACCCAAGTCGACACCAGCGAAAGATATATCGCAAGTCGACGCCAGCGAAAGATATATCGCAAGTCGACGCCAGTAGAAGATGTATTGTGAGTCGACCCAAAGCTAGGTCGTTGAAGGTGTCGATTGATGGTCAATGAAACCGACATAAAGTGTGGGAACCTTTGAGCGGGAAGAAATTTAAAAGGGTGAGAACGTGGGGAAGTTACAAAGATAGTGGAGCAACACGTGTCACCACCAGGACCAACATTGAGAGAAAAGCAATTATCTTCCTTTTCTATTTAAAGTAATGTCCATTTTCATTTAGGGGTTCCTTTTCTATTTAAAGTAATGTCCATTTTCATTTAAGGGGTCGCATTTTGTAACATTGTCAAAGGAATACACTCTGAGTACCAAGCGTTAAGAGAAAAGAGTTCACTCCTGCAAAATGTATAATAGCGTCCATATTTCTTTTTAAAACAATTTACATTACCAAATTTTAAGATATCTTGCATTTTACTTGTTTACTTGCTTGTTTATCAATTCGTGTACACTTTTTCTTCAAGTTTGTTTCCGAATTACTCTAAACAAAAACCATTCTACCAACATCGCATAGACTTGACCAGATTGTCCTAGGGCTTGCTTGGCCGGTCCCGCAACTAAACATGCGTTAGGAGGCCAAAGGTTGTTGCGCGAAAATCACGTCGAACAGTGTGTTAATCCTGTAAACAACATTGAATAAAATATTTTTAACAATTGATTAAATAATTACATTAATATGTAACATTAAGGAGTGTCATATATCATGGTAGCTGCATTGTTGTCCTCAACTTTGTTGTAACATTCAGCTCCATATACAAGTAAGGCATCACAGTAGTGTCCTTAGGCACAATCATCGACTATATCTAGATCTCTTTACACTCCTAATATACCATGTGAGTGTTCATGTCATCTCTCTCTTAAAAGGTTGTCTTCATGCCATGATCCTTTATGCTAAAACATGTGATGGCAAGGTCAACAAGTTCATAATGAACCATTGTTGAGTATGCAATTGACCATATTGATCCAAAAATATATAATCATGATTCACCAAGAGAAAACTCATTATATTATCTTTCTTTTTTCCTTTTGATAAAAATTGTTTTTTTCACAAATCTGTGGGCAAATCCCAAGAGTCACGATTAGTCAAATAGAGTAATTACGTGACATGATAATCCATTCATGGTGTCATTATTATTGCCTTATTGAATCAGCTAAACCATCCACTTGGTAGTAGAATTTAGTATGTGATGGCTCTTGAAGGAAGCTTTTTCATGACCTTATCTCAAAGATTAGAAAATCAAAAGAGAAAGAAATGTTTGCGGTGAAATAGTTTGATTGCCTGCCCCCTCTGGCACGCAACAATAACACACAAATTAAATTATGTGATATCACAACAACCGCATTATATTCTCAAGACAAATTTTACAAATCAATTTTGTAATAATCTAACTTGCATCTAAAAGACAACTTTTTTAAATAATGATTTATTTCACAATACCAAAAGATAATTTCAATACAAGAGTTGAGATAACATAACATATGCAACAAATAATCACTAGAAGAAACAACATCTACCAAATATACATTCATCTTGTTATCATTATCCTTTTCAAGCTTCCCCCAAAGCCTTCTTGATCTCATCCTGCAAAGGCATCATCAATGTAACAATTTATGAGCTAATAATTTTTGCATCCTACTAAACATGGGAAATTATTGCATGCACCAAGAGAACCATGTGAGATTGTGCTCATGACATGATAATAATGATGATAGGGTCCACTTCTTATATATTAGGTTGAGGTAACAATCATATAAATGGTGGACCCCTTCATATTTAATGCTGGCTGATATGTCAAAACTCAAACTTAAATGGAATGAGCATAAGGAAGAGAGAGAGTACTTCAAATGAGAATGGTGTGGTGGTTGGACTATATCGCTGGATCACAACCCCTTCCTTGTTAACCAAAAACTTTGTGAAATTCCACTTAATCCTAGACCCTAGAAAACCACTTTTCTTTTCTTTAAGGAATTTGTACAGAGGTGCTGTGTCGGGTCCATTCACACGTATCTGTAAATAAAAACGAATCTAACATACATGATTAACAACAACAATGGCAAAGTGATGCATCGGTATCTAAGCTTTATGAGTATTCCTAAAGATGAATAAACATTCGGATGCAGAACATATCCAGCTAGCTTTGTTAAGTAACGTTGGAAGCCTAGCTGCTATCACAACGAAAGTTTCTGTATGTTTCTGTCTACCAACACAATGAATATTTGATTGTTTGACGAGACACAGAAGCATAGATGTTGGAACTCATTGCTTACTAGGGTCTGAACTACAAAGAAACAAAACCATTTTCGGAAAAGTTGTATGCAAAAAGTTAAGCAAATGTGATCATTGTAGAAATTTTGTATAGAAAAGTGTCAGCAGCCGACTCTAAAACTCTCGTGTCAACGCTCACTTTATTATTTCGTGAAATCCAGCTAAAAGATAATGGACCCGGGTTCATTAATAGGACTCACATGAAACTTCCCTCAATGATAGAAAGTGTTGAAATGAGTGTCGTAAATGTCTTGCTACCATTTTTCATCTTTTTGTGCTTGCCTAGTTGTCATATTTATGATTATGGCTTTAATCAATACGACCTACCTATCATACCTGGATAACAGTTTCGAAGGATGAATCCTAAATGGTATTCGATAAATGACATACCAAGTTTAACAAAATTAACCTAAGGGCTTAGTATTTAGGCTTATGCAACATGAAATCTTCACACTTAAAAATTATTGACCATTACTGAACCAATTAGCATTCTGCGACAAAATATTCTTAGAACAACTAAACCAAAAATCCAGGACAAAACCTATCAGCAACGTATCGAGATCCCTACACAAACAAACAGCATATTACCTTTCCGAAAATAGGATACTCGGCTTTGAATCTTGTACAAGCAAATTGTTCTGCATCCTGACTACTCCCAGGCTCTTGGTTCAAAAACTGATTGCATGGAAAAGCCAATATCTCAAGTCCTGAAATCAAACAACTGAATCAATTTCAAAAATTTCTTTAAGCCCTTTACTCAAGTAAGTTCAAAATGATTATGACACAGTAAAGACACAAGCTTTAGTGTTCAACACCAACATGCAAAAAAAAAAACTTCAAACCCTTAAAAATCATACCTTTATCTTTGTATCTGCTGTAAAGCTCAGTTAACTGGGTATAATTGGAATTCGTAAACCCACTGTAATTAAATTTAAAACCCAATAAGAAATAATTTTAATTAGCTAAACCCCATTAAAATTAAGAAAGAAAGATTGAATTTTGATTGTAAAATCATGAAGAAAATTGAATTAGAGAAAGTGGGGTTGAACCATTTTGAAGCGACGTTAACTATAAGAAGAACTTTCCCTTTGTATATGCTGAGGTTCACGTCTTTTCCCTTAGCATCCTGAGGCAACCATGAAAAGCAAAATTGTAAGAGATTTTCACCATGATAATGAAAAAAGGGGTTTTTGTGAAGTGTATTAGGGTTTGAGAAAAAGTGGGTTACCTTAACTGTGAATTCATAGATGGATTTTTCAGAGACCGATTGTGAAGCACCCATTTGTTTCTTTGGGTTTGGTTTGGTTAAAGGTGTGGAGAACTTTTAGTTACTACTATTTTTTTGTTTTCTTAATTTAGGAGAAAGACTGTGTCTATATGCTATATTTGAACATTTTTGTTATACTTTGTTGTAATCTCAAAAGTATGATTGATGAATTTTGTGGTCCAGCCATGGCAGATAGACAGACACGTAGGTAGATAGACAACTTTCATCTTTTTCATGATTCAAAAAATTGACTGATTTTCATGATTAAGGTTGACACATGTTTTATTATTTTATTTTTTTTCCAAAATTATATTCTTCTTTCTTCTATAGAGTGACAAATTGAATTCATTCCATTTCAATTTATTTTATTTTGTGACAAATTGAATTCATTCCATTTCAATTTATTTTATTTTTTATTCTATTTTCATTTGATTTATAGTGAAGGTAATGAAATAAGATATTTTTAATAAAATATTTGAAGTCGAATCTATATTATATTACATTCTATTCTATTCTATGTTATGTTCTATTAATTTAAGCATAGTTTTAAGGTTAAAATTTATATTACATGTTCTATTAATTTAAACATAGTTTTAAGGTGTGTTTGGTTGAGTAATTTATAAAGAAAGTGGAAGAGATATTTTAAATGAAGAATATTTGGTTTAATAATTTAGATGGAAATGTTGGAACAAATGTTTTTAAGAAAGATGTAAGACGGAGAGAGAAAAAAAAGAGAAAAAATTGTAAATTGAATTATGAAAATTAGGATTAAGTGAAGTTATGTGTTTATATCATACAAAGTCCTTTTATATAGGTAATTAAATTTCAGGCCCAAACTACACAAACTGATCCAAGTCCAAAACGTACAAAATATAAAGTGCAAAATTATAAGTTATGTTGCGACACTACTATATGTTGTATTCGACATCGTCAAATACAACTGATTTCTGAATTTCGACTAACTACTTCATCACATTCGAATGTTAGCTTTCAATTAGAACATCAAACTACAACTTCTAACACACCCCATAATTTATATTCTCGAGACTTCTTATCCTCATGTTTCTCTTCAACTCGTCGAACATGACTTTCTTTAAAGGTTTGGTGAGTATGTAAGTTAGTTGCGCTTATGTCTTGCAATGCTCAAGTTCAAGTTTTCCTTTCTTGACTTGATCCCTCATAAAATGATATCTTCACTCTATATGCTTACCTCGACCATAACACACCAAATGGTCCGCCAGGTCGATAGTTGACTTGTTGTCGACAAACAACTTCATTTTCTTAGGTTCCATTAACTTGAGATCTTCAAGCAACGTCTCTATCCATGATTTGCTTCGTTGAGCTCCATAACATTGGAGTGCCTTTGATCATGAATATGTATTATGTAGTACTCTCCTTTTTGTCTTGATTTCCATTAAATCCTAAATCAGTGTAATTATATACTTCTGCATTTATGGTGATCTTTGTTTGTCTCGGCATCAGCACACCATGATCAATCATACCCTTTATGTATCTCAAAACCCTTTTAATTGTAGTGAGATGACAATTTTGGGGTTTCTCAATTAATCTACTTAACAATCCGACACTTTGAAAAATGTATGGCCTAATGTTGCAAAGATGCTTCAAGGATTCAATGACTTATTTGTACATTGTCAGACTTACAAACTCATCATTTGTCTTTGAACTCCATCCCTAAGAAATATGAAAAATTCCTTAGTGTTGCACCTCGAAAAATTAAATTCGAACATACGACCCTCGCGCGAAACACACAGAAATGCGGTTCAACAAAGTCACCACCAAACTTTATTTATCCCAAAAGTTGAAAAAGGAAAATATCGAGAAAACCCTTAAAAGAGAAAGACAAGAACACGGTCGTCGCGACCACGTTCTAGGTTCGGGAGTCGGTTACGCAAGGGAAAGGTATTAGCACCCCTCACGTCTGTTGTACTCAACGGGAACCTCTTAGTATGATTTGTGATGGGCGTTATCTAAGCTTGTTTGTTTTCTTCTCAATATTAAATACGAAACAGTAAGATAAAAGGATTCGATGTTACGGGAAATTAATGGTTATAGAATAGTGTGCTCGCCAAGGATTGGGGCCCTTGTGTCTACGTATGCTCATTCGGACGAGAATGAGAAATCAGAGCTTTCGTAGTTCGACTACGGGAAAGGTAGAGGGGAAAATGAAATATGGATAGAATTGTAGACTCAAATGGGGGAAAACGAAAAAGGTAGCTCGCCAAGATCATCGCAATCTTGTGCCTACGTATCTTACATTTAAACAAGAATGAAGAATCAAAGCGTCTGTAGTTTGTGGATACGACCACGAAAAGAGGGGTTGTATTGGAGTTGAAGTTTGATTTGGAAACAAAAGATTGAATGACAAATAATCCAAGGGGTGTGCCTTGAGAGCAGTCACTCAAGAGTCCAAGGAATGCGAGATTCCAGAAACTCATTTCTTTCAGGAGTTGACTAAAAAGGTTTGAGAAAAGGTTGAAAGTTTTGAATTTGAAAGATTGAATGAACAACAACTCAAGGGGCATGCCTCGAGAGTTGTTCATTCGAAGATTCAAGGAATGCTAGACTCCAAGAATATTCTTCTTTCGTAAGTTAATTAAGAAAATGTTTGATATAGATTAGGTATTTTAGGACGAAAGTTTGAATGAATCACAACCCAAAGTGTGCACCTCAAGAGTCATTCATTTGAAGATTCAAGGAATGCTAGACTCTAAGAATCTTCTTCTTTCGTTATTTGTTAAGAAAATAGTTTGAATAAAATATTGTTTGATGTTGGATCAAGGGTTTAATAATATTAGCGTGCAAAGATGATTTAAAAGAGATTGATTTGAGAATGGCTCGACGACAAGTTGAGGGTTTGGTTGAAAAGAGGTGAGAATTGATACTAGTCTCTAGGGGTACTCCTAATAACGAAACCACGATGAAATATAAGAGTGTGTGCGATTGGTTGATGGCGAATGCATAGGAGCAATTGACTTACGATGGGTGTTTGAAAATGACTAGATGACGAATTGAGAATTAGTTTGAAAATAGTTTAATCTACGCTAGTCCCTAAGGGTGCTCCTATAAGACAAACCACAATCAAATAAATACGAATGCGTACATCAAAGTGGGAGCAGAGTACTTGTAAATTACACGGGATTGCATGAAATAAAATGGTTCATTGTAAGGTAGCCTAAGAGGAAGTCGTGTGTGTGCGAAGTGTCCTAAACTAAGCCTTGAACAAATGTCGGACGAAAGCTCCAAGTTAGGGTTTCCGTATACATTCCAAGTTCCGTTGATCGGAAAAGTAACCACAGTCCACCAAATTAGGCTTTTAGGGTTTCGATAATTGTTAATGTGTTTTCGTATAGTATTTGAACAAGATATGAACAAGATAAATATGATATGAACAATGCAAATAATATGACAAGATATATAACAGTATAATCAAGATAATATCCACAATAGTATAATCAAGATAATATTAACAAGTATATGAACAATGATAATAAAATCAAGATATATTGACTGAAATTAAAACAAGAGTATATTGATTGAAAATAAAGTTAGTTGTTAGTTGATTTTGAACGAATCGGGTCAAAATGTAGCATTAAACCATCATAGCTCGATCTATGACGAAGATCAAATTATAGGAGGTCGTGCAAGTTGATATTCGTGCTAAAAGCATGATGGAGAAATGGTATTGAGGATCATTTTTCAAAGTAATCGTGCCACAGAAAAGAAAAGGTGACAGTCTCGTCTTAATCACAAACTCGTGTTAATTAATCAAAGGTAACCTATCACGATTTCAAAATATAGAAAATGATCTCGATGATCATTTTCTACATATTTGACATAATGAAGGTTAATAACCTCAATAAATTAACGTTTATGAATAGAAAGACTTCATCGATCGAAAATGAAATTGAAAATAGAAGAGGATCTAAAATAGATTGAGAATGGAAATTAAAATGAAATTGGTCTCATCTTCATCAAGACTTTAAATTGATAAATTGATAATCTATGATTTTAGACTTTCATGGACCAAAAATGGAAAAAGAAAACCTCCACCAAGATGAGAACAAAATTAATAAACATAATTAATGAGGGAAAAAACTAAAAATAGAATTTAACGAAAGTTTAGGAAAAAAAAGTAAAAACACTCTTAAAACCATTAAAAATATAATTGAAAGGGGTGAATCAGGATTGGAAAAGGGGGTACATACAAAAAAAACTTCAGGGAATTCTCATGGGCTTAAGCCCATTCATCCAATCATGCCAAAAAAACGGTTGTTGTTTTTAGAAAAGGGAAAGGGTGGTAAACAACAAACACGGGCTCAAAGCCTAATCCAAGAACAGCAACAATGACCAAGGGCACAGTTGAATAAAAACAACAAATGTATGTGGTTTAAAAAGACCATTTTCAGAACCCATTCATTTGTTATCCTCATACAACATCAAACAATTTTTGAAGAAGAAAAAACCACATGACGACATCAAGAACAAGGCGACTCAAGAAACAACGAGGTTATGCTTCCGACCTTATTTCTCCGACTCAGAATCTCTTCCTTCCTTTACTCACTCTCACTCTTCTCGCTCGATTCAGATTTATTGTCGCTTGACTCTATTCGTCTCATTTTTATTTCAAGTTCGTCTGTGTCTCCTTGTTTGATCCAGGTATGTGTCGATTTCACTTGTTTCACTCAGGTTTTCGGATTTGGATTTTGTTTGGGTATGCGGTTTTGCTTTGGTTCTCAATCTCCATCTATTGTGATTTTAAGTGGTTTTCTGGTTGTGAAGTTGTGGCTGTTGAAGGTTTGGTGAACGAAGAGGGATTTGAAATGAGGATTGAGGAAGATTTGAAGGTTGGAGAGGAGAGTGGGAGGGATAGAGATGTGGTTAATTTGTGTTGTTGTTGATGGTGCGGGTTATTGTATTGAAGGAGATTTGAAGGTTGGGGGTCACGGTTGGTGAAGGAGAAGTCTCGTTCTTGTTATGAAGGATGAACGTGAGAG